CGGCGGCGGCAGACCTCGGCGCTCCACGAACCCCTTTCCCAGGGGGTTTTGTCTTCCGGGGTGTACCGAGGGTCCACAGCGGGACAGAAGTACTTCCTTTTATCTGTTCTAACTCGACTGCTCAGCAATTTCATTGAGTGCCCATGAGTTCTTGTATTGTGAGAAAGGGAGAAAAGTACTTCTTTCTCTACCTGCTCTATCCCATGCATAATCTTGTATTGTGAGAAAGGGAGAAAAGTACTTCTTTCTCTACCTGCTCTATCCCATGCATAATCTTGTAAACCTCGATCATGTCACCCCTCAGGAAGCTCCTGCTTCCTCCTCTGTTGATCCAGCACTTGTTTCCCCCATGCTCTGCTTCAGTTCAACTTCCTGCTTTCCCCCAGCTTCATCTTCATCAATGAGGGCTTTACTTCCCCATGCCCCACTCCACACCCCTCTGGTTTTCTTTCCATGGTGATCTCCCAGGATAGCAGACCTGAAGCACGTCAAAAACTTATTACTAGCAGAAAAGGTATCACTGCTTTACCACTCGTCTCTAATAATGGATAATTGAGATCATGCCTGCTTTGACTTAGATACAAAGGGGTTCTACTGACTTTTACATTTGATGGAGCATTTTATGCCAATGAGGTTGAAAAAACAAGAGAAACCTTGTATATAGAAATATCAAGGACAATTCCAAAAAAGCTAAAAATTATATAAAATCACATAATTATATAGCATGTTTAATCAAATTGTAAATATTAAAAACTATGCATAAAAATCCACCAACTTTAGTTACATAGGGTAAAACAACTTTTTTGTAAAATTACACCATACATATGGAGATGCCACACATTTACAAGCATCTTTCCTTGACCAAGAACAGTTATTAATAACATAAAATACAAATACACCAAACATGTTTCAACCATACCTTCCTCAGTGGTTGAAGTTTATACAATGCACACCATATAATGAATTTGTTAAAATTACAACATGCCTGACCAAAGCACTGAATATCCAGATGAAAAAAACTTTTACATTGAATGGGTACCTCTCATTGTTATAATTAATTAGGACCATCAGAGATAACTTTTCAGATGGTAGTCGTTAATGGTCCAAATTTCTCTATAAGCCAAGTCAGGATAAAGCATTGCCCAAAGGTGTGTATAGCCACATACAGGAAATCAAATGCATTTCTATATAGAAGGTCTTTCTTCTTTTTTCCCCAATCTCTCTGGTTACCTGGTTTATTCTGGGTTGAAATCCCCCCCCCTTTGTTCATGTCCCTATTTTATAACAATGTCATTTCTCAACATAAAAACAACAATAAAAGCCTCCTCCTATGAAGAACCCCATGGCTTTTTCAAACCTAACAATAGCATATTTAAAGATGTTCTCATTTCAGATTCAATCTAAAAAAAAGTATAAAACTAAATATTTGAAAAGAAACACCATTTCCAGGCATTTACACTGGAACACCTAGCAGCCATAGCTCAAAACCACATGAAGTGTGACATAGCCATGGAATGCCCTGAATAGCTGCCAAACCCCAAATAATGCTTTCTACAAGATTATGACTGGAAAAATGAACCCTTTCCAAACTATAAAACATCTAAAAAAGAAATCAATCATGAGCTAAAAACAGCCCATCAAAATTCAAACAAACAATCTAATAGTGCAATCTCAGCTCTTTCAGGTGACAGTTTTTTGTTCTGTTTTTAGGAAATGGCAGTAAAATCTATCAATTCATGTATCAGTTCATACATGATGTAGCCCCCAAACTATTCCTTGGAAATTAGCAGGATCATGCATCCATATGTGGATATCTATGGAGCTGCCCAATTCCTATAAACAGCATGAAACAATTGGGTTAAGGTCCCACCTCTGACATAGATTCACTAGGTGGTCTCAGCCTCAGCTGTCAGTATTGGTAAAATGAAAAAAAAAGTGGTGAACTGCATCATAGTGTTGTCATGAAGATGAACACAATAAATAATACTTAAATATTTAGTAAATTAAAAGTACAATCTAAAAGATAGATACTACTAGTAATAATACTACTAATAATAGAACAACCTAGAGAATAAGAAAAAGTAGAATGCATTTCCCAGCTTTTAAAAATGAAAGGCTATGGTCTAGCCAAGGTAGAAGAATCTGAGTAACAAGAGATACATAACACTCAGAACAAAAATAGTCCTGCAGAATTCAGTCTGCCTACTGATAAAACACACCTCATACCCCAGAACTAGGTGAAAATTATTTATAAATTATCAAAGTTGCTAGGAGATAAATTGGTTAATTGCAGCACATATTTACAGTAAACATTAAATTTGATTAAAATCTGGCTTCTCACGCATCACTGCAAAATCATGCTGCAAACATCAGCATATCAGTGTATCTGACGAAAGGAGCTTTGACTCTCAAAAGCAGATACCCAAAAATCTTGTTGGTCTCTAAGGTGCTACTGGACTTGAATCCAGCTGCAAACATCAGGCTCACATCAATATTCTCCAACCTTACTGCTTTCAAAGAAACTTATTTGTATGTTTACTTTATTTAAAGCGTTTATTGCCTTGTTTGCAGGACATTAGGTTCATGTCAAGCCTTCTGCAAATGGAGCAAATTCATGGAAGCAATTGTTTTCCAAACAGTTCTGATCACTTTCCCACAAGTGGCTACTCAGGTTTTGGGGACCATCCAAAACAGTGTGTCATCTCGGATGGAGAGCTAAAGTGAGAAGAGGCAATGAGCCCAAACTATATCCCCCTCTTCTATTTGTGGAAGCCTCGAATCTTATTCATTGGTCCCCAAGGGAAGCCCATGTGAAATCCTTCTCATAGGGGAACAAGCTATGCAGAAGCAACTCCATATTATTCAATGGGCCTTAGTCCCAGGAAAGTGTCCTTAGAATTGCAGCCATTGTGACTTAAATTAAAATATCATTAACAAAGAAATAAGCAAAACAGCAATTGTTAAGTTATAAATAAAAGCCATCAGAAATTAAGTACCAGTAAAGTCTTGGACAAAAATCTTGGACAAATAAAATCTCCAGCGATGCCTACAATATAGTGGCAGACATGTATGAAACATCTGTCTGAGTTATGCACTGGAGGAGATATAACTGGCTCTGCAGTTCTGTGTATTGTATTCAGGATCAGTTGAGGTTTCCAAACACATCTTACAGGCAGGCCTTCATAGAACACTATGCAATAGTCCAATACAGATTTTACCAAAACATGAGTAACTGTGGCAAGATCAAGTTTTATTAGCAAGTGCCACAGAGGGCATAAGAACAAGTTGATGACAGGTGCTTTGCACCAACAACATTATTTGGACATCTATCTGCAAGGAAGGATCTAACAAGTATGACCAATTTCTTTCAGGGAAAAGGTAATCCCATCCAGAATAAGCTGAATAAAAATTCACTGATAACTTTACTGCCTACCAAGAATATATCTGTCTTACTTGTACTGAACTTTAGTTTATTAGCCCTCATCCAGCTCATTACTGAGTCCATGAACCTATTCAGAATATTCACTGCCTCACCTGGATTTGAAACTTAGGTGGATGAAATCAGCATACCAATGGCACCTTGTTTCAAATACCGAGACAATTTCCTCTAGCAGTTTCATGTAGAGGTTAAATAGTAAGCAGAGCCAAGAAGGAACCTTGTGCATAAATGCCACACGGCAAAACAAAAGTACTGCAGCACCGTCTTCTGAAAATGAACCTGCCAGACAGGAACAGAACCACTATTCCTCAGTTCCCATTTCAGAAAGGCCACCCAGAAGGACCCTGTGATCAAATGCTGTCAAATAATGCTGCCACACAATTACTGCGTATGATAAAAGAGAAAAAATGTTCTTGTTTCAACAAAAAATGCAGTGAAATGCAAAAACCAAAACATAGACATTACTCATCATACTTCTGAGAAAGCCATTCAGTAAACAAACACACATACATACTAGAGATGTAAAATTTCCAGAAATTTTGAAGCTCGGGGAAAAACTCGGTTTTTTTCTGGTTTTTTTCGGGGGGAAATGGAAATTTTCGGAAAAATTGAAAAAAATGCTACATTAGCATTTTTTTTTGTCTTTTCTAGATTGAAAGTCATTCTGTTAGTTTAGGAACATAAAATATGACTATAAACATTTTTACTTGGCATGAAATTATCACAACTAGCATATTAAAAATATAGTGTATCCAAACAATTATTACAAACAGAATACCCACCCACATGCAAAAACAAAACTGAAACTTTTTAATTTTCTTCTGACAATCGCACCTCCTAAAGGAAGAAATGCATCTTGTTCTTGCATTGGAGAGTTCAGTTTGTAACCTAGGACTTGCTTGTCCTCAGTGCACAGAAATTAGATCAATCTGATACCATATATATATATATATATTAGAAATGATTTGGAAAATATTTGAACACCTTGTCTTAAAATATTTTATTCATCGTGTTAAAATAAAACGTTCCATAATCAATTTTTTTCTTTTCTTTTTTCAATTTTTCCAATTTTTCGGAAAAAAACCAAAAAAAGGCTTCAGGAAAAAAACGGGTTTCCCCCCGAATTTTTCCGGTTTTTTTCCGGGCCTTCACATCTCTAATACATACCAGCTTCCATACCTTTCTTAATGCAGACTGCACATGTAAAAGAGGGCTGAGTAGAAAAGATCTTCAACTGAGGCATGCAGGTTGTGCAACAATATAAGCAGCACAGCTTTGACAGAACCAATCACTTGACTGAGACTGGACCATTGAAACAAGGCATCCCTCTCCCTTCCCCACTTCTGTTACCCCATAAACTGACCAGCACTATTAGACCCAGCAGTGTTAATCATCTGTCTGGCGGTAAAGCTTCTTATATGCAGCAGTATACACACAAATGCGCTGCTACATGCAAGGATCTCTGTTTGCATGATGCACTTTCTTTATCATTATATATTAACCCTAATAGGCATAATGGAGGGTGAAATTTTGCAAGAATCTCTCTTCAGAAACTACTTACTCTAAAAAACTGGTGATATAATCCCTGCTGCAGGCTGACCATGAGAAGGGGTTGGTGTTTGCTGTAATGTGAGCTGCCATAAGTTTTGCTGCTTCATGACCTTTGGTCCCACAAGAATTTCCAATTCCATCATGGTTCATACCAAAACTGTCCAAAAGAATAGGTGGAATGGAGTCCATTATTTTAATAGGGAATAAACAATTGTAACATTATATATCTTACATATAGATTTTAGCACTAAAAAACAAACAGGAATTAAACAATGGTAAACAATCAATTCATTCTAAAAGTTACCAGTGCAAATGTTTAGGCATGAGGTATACTTGGATACAGTACTGTTATTTGGATCTTTTACGCTTAGTTGTAATTTCAGCTGATTTTGAGTATTTTGCTAAATTTAGTAAGCCTCAAAATATTTGCATAAAGGGTTTAAAAAACAAAGCAGTATGGTATTAAACGTATTACAAACCTAAGTAATACTGGGTATTACGAACTGAGACAACTACTGTTAGGTACCTAAGCTCTCTGTGTGAAATTCACATGCCAGTTATTACATCCAAGCACTACAACAGCAAACTAATATCTTCCTCTAACCAGAGACAACGAATATTCCATGAACAAAGCCATTAGTCATGCTTAAGCTTTCCCGAGTGAGAGCTCATTTCATCAGATGCATCTCTCGAGTGCCCATTCAACGCAGCTCAATTTATGCCTGGCATTCAAGCAACAGAAAAGGCAGGCAGGGAACTAACAAGGACTTACAAGTTCTACTTGGTTGGACACTATACAGTTGATACAGTGAGCTCTGACTCATAAAGGCTTTGCAGGAATACATTTTGTTCGTCTTTAAGGTGCTACTGGACTCCTGTTTAAGTGGGAGGAGCTGTTTGTTTATTACAACAGACAAATATGGCTAACCTTTGGAGCCATTACTCATGAAGCGCTAAACATTTCTGCTTGATACAGCTACTACCATTAGGAATTAAGACTTGTTATTAAAACTGTTTGCTCAATTCAGACATCAGACCAAATCCTGGTTTGTATTAGCGATAATTTAGAATACAAGATCTGTTCTAAATTAACAACAAGCTGACCACTGTTTAAAACGGTTTGCCTGTTTTAGTTTTCTATTCCTCTATGAATCTACAGTTTCACTCTCACATGCATGGCACACACTACGTCTTGGAAATGCAAACGATGACTCCTGATTCTAGTTTGCCATCCAACTGACCACCACTATTTTTCAATTCAGATATCACACCAAACCATACTTAAATTCACAGAAAGCTGGCCTAAACCATGTCAAACCATTGCTCATCTATCCCAGTATCCTCTACTCTGCCTGGCAGCAGCTGGATCTCACAGAGTAGACTTCTGAGCCTTGCTACCTCAGATGCTTGGCATGATGACTGAACTGAGCCATTAATTATATGTTTTTTTATGAATCCCAATATACTGTAACCCTGTAAATAAATTAACTTCAATAAGACTTAGAAGGATGAAACTCTGCTTAGAATTGTACTGACACATAACCACTCTTGTTGAACACATGTCCCAAAAATGTTTAATTTAGCTCCCTCTTGTTTTCTTGGCTGATTTGCCCCTCTCACATGGATGTTTTTAATATCTATTGATACTCTCTGGTTTGCAGAGGAGACGCCCTGAAGCTGGTGCAAAGCCTACTCTAGAGTTCTAAAGCCACATATAAAAGAAGTACCGCTACAATATGGCTACTGCAAGTTGCTGTATTCTTCTCATATACTCATGGCCTTGAAGCCATTGAATATGTTATCTTCTTTATTCATTAAAAAAAAAAAAACCTTGGACGTCTTGCTCATGTTTGTGGCTTAGGAACTGCTGCAGCACAACTTCATCCCATGCTGCTCAGACAATGGAAGTCACTGCCAAGCACACAGGAAGAACCCACTTAGGGCTTCTCTACACAAACAATGTTGTTACTCCAGTTTTAGGAGATGTGACACCAACACAGAAAAGAGATACAATCCACATGTGTGTCTCGTGTATACTGGCAGTATGGAAAGGAGTTCTAATGCGGTAGTTTCCAAGTGAGGCAATGAGGAAATGTGAAGCCTAGACGTAAATTCTTCGCTGATGTTCTTACTGACCTAACAGGACTAATGGCTGCTTTACCACTGAATGCAATATAACTGGATCTTTACACTAAGAAAAACATTTCCTTATGAAAATTTAGAGAATAACAGTGCAATTCTGTATGGAGCCAAACCAGTTCAAACCCACTGACTGCTATGGGTTTAGGCTGGAATAACTCTACAAAGGACTGTACTGTAAAAGTGCTTTCTAAAAGGAACACAAGATATTTGGCTCTAGTGAAGATAAGCTTCAAATTGCATCTGAGCTGTGGGAAACAAACAATGTTACAAAATCACTGAAGTAGTAGGCTTATTTATTTCTGCAGTGCCGAAGTGGAAGAATAAATGTAGACATAAAAACTAGATGGGCAGATTGAGACGAACGTTACATAAAAAGACAAGCTTAAAAGGTTCCCTATGACAGAGGCTTTTCCTTTAGAAAAACATGCATGAATGATTTTAAGTGCTTGACTACTGTGCTGATTCAACAGAATAAAAAATCACAAATATCTTTGGGATGGAGAAAAGCATTGCTCAAGCACTTCAATTTGGATCCTATGCACAAAGAGGCTCTTCCTTTACTCTTGCATGCCCCCCCCCCAATTTTCTGCTGGGGTTTAGGGAACCCTTACGAATAAAATGCACCATGGCGGGTGTAGCAGCAAGAAGAAGAAACTGAGCAAAATGGCTTTCCTCTCTTTTTGCTGGGAGAGGAATTATACCCATATAAGCTTTCTGTTGTGGTAATTTGTGGTAAATTAGTAATTGTGATAATTTAGTACAGTTCTTTCTCTTGCAGCAGTGCATTTACGAAGATCTCACAATCTTCAGCGTAAGATTTCAGGGAACCTTGGAGGAATGCTAGAGGAAGGAAAATACAAAGAAAAACCTGTCTCTGGAAGCTCATTCTCTTTGGACGATGTCGCTGTTTTTAATATCTGTTGCTTGGCAGATGTTTAATTAAATGTTGCTCACATCAACAATTTCAGATATGCAGATAACACCACACTACTGGCAGAAAATGATGGAGTCTTGAAATGATTCCTGATTAAGGTTAAAGAAAAAAGTGCCAAAGCAGGGTTGCAGCTGAATATCAAGAAGACAAAAGTAATTACTGGGGAATTATACAACTTTAAGGCTGACAGTAAAGAAATTGAAATTGTTCAAGATTTTCTACTCCTTGGCTCCACCATCAACCAACAGGGAGACTGCAACCAAGAAAATTGGAGGGAGATTGAGACTGGGAAGGGCAGCCATGAAGGAGCTAGAAAAAGACCCTTGTGTAAGAAGGTGTCCCTGGCAACCAAGATCAAGATCACTCATACTACAGTATTCCCCATAACTGTGTATATGTGTGAAAATTGGACAATGAAGAAAGCTGACAGGGAGGAAGTTGATTCATTTGAAATGTGGTGTTGGAGGACATTTTTACAGATATTATGGATTGCCAAAAAAGACAAACAAGTGGTTCCAGTCAAATTAAGCCTGAACTCTGCCTGGAAGCTAAAATGACTAAGCTGAGGCTATCATACTTTGGTCACATTACGAGAAGGCAAGAATCACTGGCAAAGACAATGATAGGGAAAGTTCAAGTCAGCAAGCAAGAAGAAAGACAGATTGACTCAATCAAGAAAGCCACAGCCCTCAGCCTGCAAGACCTGAACAAGGCTGTCAACAATAGGACATTTTGGAGGATATTAATTCGTAGGGTCACCATAAATAGGAAGTGACTTGATAGCACTTAACAAACACACAATGGATCACTTTAGACAATAGAAAATTGTTGGCATTAGAAGGACATGATTGTAGATTTGGATGGCATGCATACTTATGGTATGGGAAAACAAAAACGGACGGTTTTTTTAAGCCCCACTGTATCAGAAGAACAATATTTGATACCTGGATTAAATATAAAATGTTTTTTTCGGATGAGAGACCACTTTGGAGGTAATTAAACCTTATTCGGTTTATAAGGGAGAGGACTGGTTACAATATAGAGATATATTGAAATCTGATGGAAAATCATTTGAGATGAAATCAGAAGAAATGGACTATAAATATGGTTGGTTACAATATAGACAGGTTTATGATCTGTTTAAGACAGATAAAAAGAATTTGGGTTCAGGAAAAAATATAATGAAATTGAAAATTTGTGGTTGGAAGGAGGCAAAAAGATGATATCTAAGATGTATAAGATTTTGCTAAAATGGTATACAGAAGATGAAACAGTGAAAGAGCAGATGGTAAAATGGGCAGTTAATATGAATAAGGAAATATATATGTCATCCTGGGAATTTTTATGGAAAAATGCAATGAAAATTTCAACATGTAATAATCTAAAAGAGAACTGTTATAAGATGATGTATAGATAGTATATGACACCAAAAAAGATAGTGAATATAAGTAACAATTTATCAAACAAATGTTGGAAATGTAAAAAAAGAGAAGGCTCTTTTTACCATATGTGGTGGACATGTGATAAAGCAAAAAAAATTTGGACTGAGGTCCATACAGAGATGGGGAAAAAATAATGAAATGTAAAATTAAG